CCTTTTGCAGTTTTTCTTTACCATCTCACTGTGGATTTAGTCGCTTGGTCACTGGTCATTGCCTAATTAAACATCTACTGTGTGTCCAGGTATGGTAATCCCTGTGAAAGAACTCAATTCTCAAGATGTGTGGAGAGTTTGAGACACATCAGTGATTCTACATATTCGCTTAACTAATAAACTAGGTCCTCTGATTTTTAAAAGAAAAGGAGAACAAGATGATGAAGAGAAGTCGTCCATATTTGGTGTAGAAATGCTAAGTTCTGCAGCCGACGCAAATTTTGATCAGTTCTCATAGTCTTGTCCTACACCCCATCTATAACTGACTCCAAACTCATCCCAAGGGAATTTTCTACTGTCTTCTTCTCCTGAAGAAAACAAAACCCAGTTGCTAAAAGCCCACGAGGTTTTAGATTCCTAGCCACCAAATTACACTGACATTTCTTGGGAGTCCAGTTGATATTGCTTTCAATGCTGCTACCTCCTGCATCCTAAATTGCCTTGGCCTCATACTCTCTGTAGTCTAGTTCTAAAAAGATTTGGTTCTTACCATCAAAAAGCCATTTCATTTGCTTGCCCTCATTTTAAAAACAAGTTATGAAAACAATAGGGGTTGGGGGAGACCTTGAAACTCTTTCCATTCTAAAGAAAAGCAGAAGCGAATCCCAGGAAGGAGGTGTGGACTTAGAAGGATGTGGCATTTCCTCAGGATTGCGTGGGAACTCACTGCTTTCATTCACAACAATTGAGAGTTGCCTCTGTGCTGTGTTTTAGCTTCATCTGGCATGGGGATTATTTTCCCCAGGAACACTCAGACCCGAATACAAGGGTACCTTCAGGAAGAGGAAAAGGAAGAAATACAGTCTAGGAACATAGGATGTGAACCAGGAAATTCTTTTCCCCTGCACGGATTTAAAAGACTATCATGCCGATGCCTAACAAATTCCACTACCCATTTGGAGTTTACTTGTGCTGTGATGTTTTCCCTTGGACATGTGATTGTTTTGTACTAAGACATCCATATTATTTTCCCAATAACCCAAAATACCATTTCCTGAAAAAAGTTAGGGATGCCGATTGTAACTGTAAAAATTACACAGGCCTTTGTGTTACTTGAACCGTTCACTAAACCATCAAGACCAAATAAAGTTCAAACTCAGATGCCATACCGAGGGTGCCAAAAAAATGTATACATATGACTTGTATTCAAGTTTTGTTATTGGTATATATTGAGAATTACAATTTGAATAGTTTTTTTTCCTTTCTTAAAATATTGAACTGCCATCTTAAGATGCTTAACCATAGAGCTGGGAGGACTATGGGTGGAGCTGGGCCCCTTGTTAACTCTCTAGTCCTGACTTCCTGTTAAACTTTGTGGTAACTTCCGGGGGAGGGATGCTAATAAATAGAATAGCCATCTTGGAACCAGGGCTATTCTTCACGTGGGCAGCCGGCTGGAGCCCCGGTTGGAGGTGTGTGTTCCCGCACTACTGTGGTGGTTTTTGTTTCTTTTCTCTTCCTGAATAAACTGTTCTTTGGTGGATTTCCGGGAGAGTTATTTTTGGCCAGTCGACAATATGTATACATTTTTTTGGCACCCTCTGTACTAAAGTCCATCCAGCTCTCATCTCTCCAAAGCCAGTTTTTACTTATCCCCCCTCACACACCTTCTGTTTCTACAGAATGACCTCCCCAGTTTGTGTACACATATTTTCATTTTTCTATCTCCAAGCCTTGGTCTACCCTGTAAGCAGTTGCCTCTCTCACTCCACCCTGCCCCATATGCCCAAATGTTACCAACCCTTGAAGGCAGGCTCAGATCGGGCACTGCCTCCCTCAGTCCCCAGCTGGAAGAAATGTCTCGCTTCTCTGAAATTCCAAAGTATATAATCCATTCCTTTCTTACAGCAATTCGGTTTTTATTTTGTATGTATCGTAGTTGCTCCTTGTCTTAGTCAAGATAATAAGCTCCCTGTGGGCAGGGTCCTCGGCACCTAGCACAGAGCAACACACACACAGTGGATGCCCCACACACTCTAAATGGAATGAACAAACTAGCGTGACACTTTAACAAACCAAAGTAACAGAGCACAGGCAATAATTTACACCCTCACCCAGAAATATCTTTTTAGTGAACACAGCTCATAAATCAACAGTGTCCAGAGCAGGAAGAGCAGAGTCATGCTGAGCTAAATTATCTAAAACTTGGAAATTAGGGTAAAAAATGGCTGTAAGCCCTTTTGGTATCATTCCAGAGCATACCCCAGCATGCCAGCCTAAGTAAGTGTCATCTGACTCTCCGGGCTGGGATGTGACAGTTTGATTTTTCTAGTCGCTATTGATTAGGGCTTAGTCTCTACGAAGTTAAGTGCTAACTTCGAGAAATCTGATGATATACAACTTATTTGGCCCAAATGTTATGACTTTATTGTACTTCAGGTCACTAACCAGTTTTGCATCTAATTTAGCTCTTATTCTAGCACTCTTTTCCCCTACTAGCTCCCTCCTCTAATGTTTCTATGTTATCAGTTTCTGCTCTTTCTTTAAGCCAGCTTTATCATCTGGTTCCTTCATCAATGAGTTAAATAAATCTTCATTGTAGGCTCATTTAATTATATGAGAATTGGATGCTTAATTTTTTGAAAATTATACTTATGGGCCGGCCGAGTGGCGCGATGGTTAAGAACTTGCTTGGGATGCCAGAGGGCCCCGGTTCGGATCCCACATATGAGGGCCAGTGACACTGCCCTCCACAGCTAAGATGCTGAACAACAGCTCAACCTGGAGCTGGGCTGCCATGAGTCGCCGGCGACGGCGTGGGCTGCAGTCCCTGTGGCAGTGGATTGCCATGGGCTACCGTGTGTGGCCAGCAGCCAGCGTGAGCGGCCAGCAGCCGCAGTGAGCGGCCGTCCAGAAGCCGGCGACTGATCTGCCTCGCCAGAGAAGAGCGCAATGATGGTGCCAACTTGGGCCAGTGAAGCAACATCCTCCACAACTAGATTGAAGAACAAAACGACAGCAACTTGTCTGTTCCCCTTTCCCCAAGTCCCCAGCACTGTTCCCATCCCCCAATTCCCCAATAAAAATCTTTAAAAAAAAAAAAAAAGAAAATTATACTTATGCTTTGAGAATATTAATAGTTATAAATAAGGGGACATGTAAAAGAGGTACTGCTAGTATCATTATTGTTTTCCTAGTTATAATTTTCTTTAGTTTTTATCTAGAATAAATTTCCCAAATACCAAATTTACTCACCCACAAACATTTTCCATTCCAAAGCACGTATACAAAACCAACAGCAGTGAAATGAATGAATATTCTTTACTCCTTGTGTAAAATAACTTTTTTTCAGTTGGTATATATTTTATATTGGTTCTATTGGTTTACAGTGTTCAATATAGTGATTTGACATTTTTATACCTTACAATGTGATCACCCCACTAATTCTAGTAATCATCTGTCACCGTGCAATCTTATCACAATATTCTAATGGCATGTATGTGTCTATTTCAAGTCTGCTACAATCAATTCAGTAATAGCTTTATTTTAAAAGCCTGATTTTCAACTAAATATCTAATCTTTTCAAATAAAAATGAAATCTGCTTATAAATTCCTTGAATGACACATCTATCTATCATTGGGAATTACGGAACATTATAGAATGTAATTTTACATGTTCGGATGGCTAGCATGTTGTAAATTCAAGCCATACTAATATTGCATTAGGAGGAAGATAGTTGTTCTGAAATCACTACAGGCCATAATGGAAACCAGACACTAATGCTTTAAGAAGTAACTAGCTGAAATTGAATGAAATAATCACCCAATCCATAAAGCATTTGTAAGATTTCCCCATAAAACACAGGTAATTTTTTTTACTAAAGAGAAATCATTCTTTGTATTGTCCTAAACACCAAATGCCATCACATCATAAAAATAAAAGATAGCACCCGAATCATTTCATTTTGTTCATTCATTTATTCCTATAATACATATTCACTTTACCCTACAATAATGAAAACATTATGCTTCTTCACTGTTATTTACAATGTTGTTTAATCAACAAGGCTCAAAATGCTCCCTGGAGAGATCATTGACCAAAGCGAATCCATTCTAAGCAGAGGGTTAGAAAGGTCTGGGTTCCGCAACTTGCCCTAGCTGTCATTGCTGCCAGTGCACCCTTGATCCCAACATGTTGTCAGTTTCATGGAGACATATCTGACAACCAAGATGCATTGAATATATACCTGTTTGTGTCCCCCAAAAAGTAATGTCCAAGGCTTACCCCCAGTATCTGTGAATATGACCTTATTTGGAAATAGGGTCTTTGTAGATGGAATCAAATTAAAGTTGAGTTCATACTGGAGTAGGGTGGCCCCTAATCCAATGACTGGTGTCCTTGTAGGAAGAAGGATATTTGGACAAAGCCACAGAGACACACAAGGAGAAGGCCATGTTAGGAAAGAGGCAGAGGTAAGAATGCTGCAGCTACAAGCCAAGCAACTCCAAAAATTTCCTGAAACCACTAGAAGGTAGGAAGGGGCAGGAAGGGTCCTCCCTTAGAGCCTTCAGAGGAAGCACGGCCCTACCAACACCGTGACTTCAGACTCTGGCCTCCAGAACTACGAGAGAATCAGTTTCTGTTGCTTTACACTGTCCAAGTTTGTGGTCATTTGTTACGGCAGTCAATACAGTGCCTTTTAAATCGTGCTGTTTTTAATTATTCTTTGTAAGGGTGATTAAAATCTACAATATTAGGAATGCTAAGTAAAGCTGCATCAGGGAGGGCTGGAGTGGGAGTAGGAGGCAGGACAAAGCAGTGGGTGGGGAGAGGTTCTCTAAGGTTCTAGTTCCTTCCAATTCCATCCATCTTATATACTTGGCTTCTGCTGAAGACCTAATTTTAGAAAGATTCCCGTTTTAAAAATATAAAGGGGAAGGGCATAAAAACCCGTGATTTGGCAGTTTTCATAAGAAACGTACCACACAGAGCTACTCACCTCAACATGCTGACAGGTTTGAATGAGTTTAGCCAAAAGGGTCTCCAGTTCTGTATTCCTCTTGATCAGGTTGGTGAGGTTACTCTCTAAATTTTGCTGTTCAAAAAAAAAGAGAGAAAAATATTATTCTGCACACTTTAATACTTTATACAAAATTACTCATACTCAGGAAAAGCTGATACATTCTTCAAAAACCTCAATGAAATCTATGCAGGTTCAAGTGTTTACAGATTTAAACGGACTTTGAAAAGTCACATTTAAAAGAGCCTTTTAAAAATGTTCAAATTTCATTCTTTTTTTCCTGCTTCTTGCACTAACTCAAGCATATTTAACTGAATAATTATCTGTAAGTTGCTTCTAGGTCATGAACTGGGGAGGAGATAATTCGATTTCTAGTCCTTTACCTGAATCAGAAATGGCACTAATATAAAGAATATATTCCTATATCAAATCAACTACTATTGGATTTTTAGAATTTACCATCTTATGGGCAGGCTGAGGTCAACCCCTTGGAGAAAGGTACTGATTGTCCAGCTGTTTCTGACATTATAGCCATTTGTAGGCATTTATAAGAAGTCCTCATCATACATGTTTACTCACTCATAGTACATTTTACTGTTCATGCTTTTATTCTTTGCCTATCAATCTATTGATGCCTGATCAAATTTCTTTAAATGCTACATTTTTTCATATCACTATCCTGCTTAAGAATCTAGAATTATTCCCCATTATTTAAAAACATCAAACTTAAAGTTCCCCATAATGACTATTAAATCTTCTTTTCAACTACGAGAACCCTCTATTCTGGGTGAGATTCATGAAGAGTTCTCCATTGCTTCTCACTCTGTGTGCTCTTCATTTATGCCATTCATTCATCTAGTCATCCATTCATACGAGTATGTACTGACCTTCTATTATGTCAGACTCTGAGAGAGACACTGGGGAAATAGAAATAAAAATATGTACTCCCTGTCCATGAGGAGATGGCTATGCGACTGGGAGAAAGATGCTGTAAACAGGAGAAGGGAGAGTCAGGGCTGCCTGGAGAATGTTTCCAAGAGGACATAGTCTTTCTGCTAAGGCTGGAAGGATGGACAGGGAGTTTTTGGTGAATGAGAGTGGGAATTTCTTGGGAAGATGGAATGGATGTGGAGGTGAGCACAGGGAAGTGTATTCCATGGGCAGGGAATAGAACAATGTCATATTCCAAGGTCAGGGAGGTGTGAGAGGCAAAGGATTAGGACACCTATGTGTTTAACATATAGACAATTCCACAAATACAATGAAGATATGGAATGAAAGCACATTTCATGGAAAAAAAATAGGTCTGGGATTTGTAATGCCATCTGAGAAAAAGGATTTGGAAAGAGTGTGAGGGGGATTTTGAAAATCAACAATTTCATAAAGTTCATTAATAGTTCATTAAGCTGTGAAATTTATTTCTGAAAATATTTACTCTTTTTACTTTCCTAAATTTTAGATTTAGAAAAGTATATTCAGGACAAGAATCACTGTTTTTCACACTTAAAATGCATAAGTCAGAAGCAGAAATCTCTGGTCATTCTTAAACAAGTTATGTTTATTAATATGGTATTTGTCCTATGAACTAATTTTTTAAAAAATTTCAATGACCACATTTGTCATTTCCAGTAGGTTCTTTATCACATCTTCTTCTTGTTGAATTACTTTCTGCTCCTGTTCCCAGGATGCAATTCCCTCTTTCATAATTTCAAGAAAACTAAACATACTTATATTCTTAAGCTCTTTTGAGAAAAGGCAATTCATATTTTCTGCTGTTTGCATAATGTTTCCCAAGAACCTGTCTTACCATTTTTGTCTGAGAGCTCATCTGATGTGAATTTTGTTCCCTGTGTTGGGGTTTGGGGATTGACATGGCCCAGCTAGGTGAGGTGCCCACTCTGCTGTTAGGGCTCTGGGTTTTTTCTTCAGACGGGGCACTCCCTCAAGACACCCATGTGCCATAGAAGCACAGATCCTGGTTTGACTCGGTGCCTCTCCTTCCTTCCATGAGAATTCTGTCTGGCTCCAATTCCAGAGAAGGTGGGAGGTTTGCTTTGAGCCCAGTGTGTACACTGGGAGTTCTGGCCTCCAGGTATACAGGGCAGTCTGAGGCTCCTGCCATGTGCAAGATACACTCTGCCATGTTTCTTTCCCCTTGGGTCCTCGTCTTGTTTCCACTTCTTGTGAGCAGCCCAGCTTCAGCCTCTGCTCACCACTCTGCATTTTCTTTCATTTCCGGTCTTTGGAGACTTTCCACTTAGGTTTAAGCTTGGTTATTATTCTTCAAAATCCATTTTAAAATGTTTTATCTATAATTCTCATGTGTTCAGATTTCAGAGGGAGGTTTTGTGCATATTTTAGCTGGACTGGAGGACCAATATGAAATCTTCAATTCTGGCATTGAAACTCTCAAAGAGTCTCAAATATAAATATTTTAAAGGAGAAAAATGACCATTTCTCAGTTAAAGGATGAGACACAACAAAAAGTCAGAGAATGAGCCAGACAGAGTGATTTAGTTGCAACTTAATGAGCTCACATTTGCATTAAAGAAAAGCTTGCTTTCAAAGCTCTGAACAACAACAAAAGCCAAAAGTTTTCCTACTCTTTACATTAAAGGAATTGCAACCACTAATCACTTTATGGTCAGAGACTAGAGAATAATTTTGAGGCATTCCATTATTCAGTGTCCTTGATTTAGATATGACTACTTTATGGGATATTTGTCAACTTCTCTTGGTATGTTAATCTTACGGAATCCTTTTACTTTTCTTTTTGGCTGACCCTTTGGAGCAGGAAATTTCTAGGGAAATACATCATCTAACTGTTTACAGTTCAATTGTCATAGGTATGACTTTTCTAAAGCTAGTCAGTAAAAGAGAGCCAAATAAATATAGTCTAACACATTTAGATTTTACAAACATCTGCTTGCTTTCCCCTCCCTTTATTAAGTATATATCATGTATAAAATCTGTTTTTAATCAACTAATATGTAGACTAAAGCCTGTGGTTTAAACATATTGACCTATCTAGATCCTTTGGGGTTATTCAAATTTAAATAGTACAAGTGTTACTGAAGTCTGCAAAGATTACCGAGTCAGTTAGAAGTGTAATAAAGGGAAATGAAGCTGGGAGAGAGACTGTTTCCAAGATGTACCAAAGGGACTGACAACACTTTTGAAGAGAGCCCCGGTAATGGGAACGTAACAAAATCCAGTCCTCAATGAACCATGCATCCATAAGCTTCCACTATAGGGACTTCTGTGGAGTTTTCTAGAATTTAACTGTATCATTAACATCCTGTGTGGTGGTCAGCAGGTCCTATAGCCTCTTGATTTTGATTGTGCTTTGTGCAAAAGAGAGATAATAGTTTTTGGCATAAGAGTCTTAGAACTAAGTGGATACAAGAATCTACTTCCCTGTGGATATCTAAGGAATCCTACAGCGTATCCCCCCAAAAGTTTTAGTTTCCTGTTCTCACCTCAAAAACGTCACTATATTTACATCTCCTGATGGAGCTGAGCTCTGTAGAAATCCAAGGAGTCAGGCATGAGTGACCACACGTGGAGGGAGGACACTGGCGCTACCATCCCCGCTGAACTCTCCTGGACAAATGAGTCTTGAGCTCAGTTTTCCCATCCATAATGTATGGATAATGATCAGTCTACCTATCTGTGCTATTGCTAAGATCAGAGAAGAAAATGAATACACACACCAGGGACTATACAAATGTTTGTTGAAATCCTGAATTCCAGGAGGAAGCATTCAGTTTGGGGTCAGTACCAGACATTACAGGGGCCCAACTTCATGCCTTAGGCAGTCCCCATTCTCAAGCCTGCTGATGGTTTTTTGCTGTAAGTACCTGCTCCTCTCAGCTCCAGAACTTTATCTGACCCCAGGCAGGGCAGGCTGGGGTGTTGAGGAGAACAAGGGGAGGCTGATGCCCCTGGGAGCAGCCCTCAACCAGTGACTACTAGCACTTGGTGGATGAACAGCCCAGGCTCCTCACCTCCTGGGTGGGTGGGACTACTCTGAGTCATGTTCCATCAAATCTCTCAGAGAGCTCCATGGGGCGGAGCCCAGGTCCCATAGCAACAACCTGCCCGTGACCACGCCCTCTTTCCTTCCCCCCTGTCCTCCTTCTCTCCTCCCTTACAGACCCTCTCAGATCACCTCCCAATTTGAATTCTGAGTCAGGGTCTTCTTCTGGGAGAACTCAACTAACGTCCTAATCCATTATTTTTAAGTACTCCTTTTTATGAGGAAGAGCCAAATTAGTAGATGATTTCATTTCATTGCTTTTGAAAATTATTTGCAAATACAAGAGATTGTTTTCTCCCCCCCCCCCGTCTTCCTTTTATAACTTTTTCTAGAGGTCATATATCCTCCAAATTCCAGGCTCTAAACCAGAACTGTCACTAGAACTATAATGTGAGCCACAAATGCAAGTCACATGTTAAATTTCCTAATAGTTATGTTAAAAAAAGTAAAAAGGAACAAGTAAAATTAGTTTTAATAATATATTTTACTTAACTCAATATCCAAAATATTATTATTTCAACATGTGATCAACATCTAAAATCTGATGAGCTATTTTTTCTCTATTGCCACTCTCTGTATTGTGAAACCAACTCCATCAAGATTAAAATTACATTAAGATAAATATAATTCAATGTATTTATGCTTGCATTAATTAGACAATTTCAGGGGGCAGGGAAGTTGATACTCTTAAATTATGCTAGGTATTAATGACTTGTTGTAAACATGTGACTTGACATTTTTCTTCCAGCGTTAATAGATTATATTGCCTATCCCAAACTTTAAAATCACTTTTAACACAGGTTAAATTTTTTCAAAAAATTTTCTTGTAAAAATTAAGGTGCATCTTATATACCTGATGAGCTCTTTTACTCACATACCTGATGAGCTATTTTTCTTTCCTTTTTTCTTCCTTCCTTCCTTCCTTCCTTCCTTCCTTCCTTCCTTCCTTCCTTCCTTCCTTCCTTCTCACTAAGTTTTTGGGATCTGGTTTGTGTTTTACACATAACACATCTCAGTTCCATCAGCCACACTTCAA